AAAAAAAAAAAAAAAAAAAAAGAAAAAAAACCCACCAAAAACCAAAGAAAAACATTTGATGGAATATCCCAAGATTTTCCTAAATTTGGAAGGTTACAAAAATTGAATCTTCTGTACAGTGATTGCTAGCAACATGAAGCTGTGGATTTGGGATGCCCAAAATACACATGCAAATGAAATACAGATGTCGTGGGCCAGCTTCTGAGAAGGTGCCATCTCACCATGCATGGAAAAACTCTAGTTTGTGTGCAGAGCAAAGTACCTGGGTGAGCAGGGTCTGTTCCCCATACACAGTGTGCTTGTAGGAGAAGTGTCTATAGGGAGCAGCAGAAGTGATGACATATTTTTGCAAGCACCACTGCTGCTCCCAACCTCAAAGGTCACACTTGAGAGAAGCCCAAGCAAAGCCTTCAGCCAGGTAGGGGCTAAGGAGCTCTAGCTGGAGTGGGGTGAGCTGTGCGACTCCTCCTACACCATGTGATGGGAAGCAGATGTTGCCCAGACAGGGAGTGAATAGTCCTGAATGGGCGCTATGGTTCCCCTTCCATAAATGTTCTTCCTCTGGTTAAACAAGACCAAAAGGGTAAGCCTGTGCTCTCCCACACTCCCGGCATTGCTATGTGTAATCTTGGTTGCAAGATAGACTCCCACACAAACAGAGCCTGGAGATGTATCTCCCCAGTCTGGTCTGGATATGGTTTAGCATGTCCATGGGTCTCTGGGGAGGTTCATCAGATTTCCACCATCTGAGGCTAAAATGTCACCAATGCCACATTGTAAAACCAGATCTGTAGGCAGCAGAACTCTAAACCCATATGAAACCTCTCCCAAACGCAGGCTTCCCCAATTCTCCCAGCACACAGCTTTGGCTCTCTCTTTGGTTTACATGCGGTGCCCCAGAGACCAGCTGCACCCCACACACCTCCTCTTGTCCCTGGGTGGAACTCGGACCCCAGGCAGCAGGACCCTGACCCCACAATTGGACTGCAGCACAGAGAATGCTAAGGCTGGATTCAGAGGTGACTGTGAAGGCTGATGAATCTTTTTTAATGCACTTTTGTGTCCTTGTGCTGCCTCACTGCCCCAGGAGTCTCATCCCTAGCTGCAACATGTGTGCCTGGCCTTGGCTGGGGGATGAAGGCGGGGGCTGGAAAAAATCTCAGCACAAAAAAAGCCAAAACGCAAAACCAGAGTGGTTTATTTTAGGATTTCCTGTCAGTGAATGTCTTCTGAAAACACAGGAGCGAGGACAGGCATTATTTTTGGCAATGAGACCCCATTCAGAGAGACAAGGCCGCCGCGGGAACAGCACTGCCAATGGGCTGGCCTCTGGCTCTGTTTATTTTCGGCACGGCTTCATCTGCCCTGCACTGGGAGAAAAGCAACCCACTTCTCCCTACCAGTGTGGATAAAGCAAGCACCACTTGCTTGCTTTATCCTGGGTCTGGCTTTTCAGCACTCCAGCACAGAATCTCGTGGCCCAGAGTAATTAGCAGTAATTGAGCTCTCCTTGCTGCATAGTTCTTAGGTGCTGTCATTTCCTGCCAGCCACCAGCTCTGGACAGCAGGTGGATGTCATGGGGCCAGCATATGGACTTAGAAGCATAGGATCATTTAGGTTGAAAAAGACCTTTAAAATTATTGAATCCAACCAAGCCTTGTCTCCTCCTGTCCACTGTCTTCCAGCAGCACCCCAGGAAAGGGTCTCAGGTGCATAAATGCAGCACGGGGGAGTTCAGCAGAAACAAAAATTGCTCTGTCATCCTCCTCAAGAGTGGCATCGATCAGCTGGGGGTTCACTGAGAGGGCTCCTTTCTTCCTGGCACCATGGGTCTCCATTGCTTTTGCAAACCTCCCATTTTTAGCCTGTTTTGTACCCAGCGTGCTGGGTGCTGCACACCTTGCTCTGCAGGACACACCAGACCACAGTGCTGGGTCCGTGTCCCTGGTGTTACCTGTGCACCTGGCACTCAGGTGCTGCAGTGCCTGACAAGCATTGGGGAGGGAACATCTGGCTCTCAGAGCACCGTGTGTGATTCACTGGCATCAGCTCTTCCAGGAGTGACCTGGTTTTCTTTTCTGTCCTACCAGCACATCAACAACGATCACATCCACGGGGAGAAGAAGGAGTTTGTCTGCCGCTGGCAGGACTGCACACGGGAGCAGAAGCCCTTCAAGGCTCAGTATATGTTGGTGGTGCACATGCGAAGGCACACGGGAGAGAAGCCACACAAGTGCACGGTGAGCTGGCAGGGACACATGGTACATCTCACTTGGCAAATGGGGTGCCAGGCTGGGGTGGTCACAAAACTTGGGCATGGCTTCAGGTAGGGCTCTACCAGTCCAGCCACTGGCAGCAGCTCAGAGCCAGTCCAGCCCTCTGTGTCTGGGTTACAGCTACTTGCAGGTTAGACCCTGGGTACAGGACAAGAGGTCAAGGAGTGTGGTTGAGGTGTTAGTGGGCAAAAGTGCATTTCCTTGGTGAGAATTATTTCAGATCTACCACAGAGATCCAAAGCAACTCAGGACAAGTCACTTAAGGTGAAAATCCAGCTAATTTAGTTGCCTACATCCAAGAAAGAAATCCAGTAATGCCACACTGTGGGGAGCTGCCTAACCCTGGTTGTGTCTAACTTGGCATCACACACTACTGCTGGGACTGCAAGATTCCCTCACCCACAGACCCAAGCATGCATACATGCCTCTTTCTAGCCTGGGAATCTAGGCCAACACCTCCTGCTTTTGCTCTCTTAATTTAGAGGTGAGGTTAAGCCATAGGTGCTTGACCCCCAAGAAGAGCTCAGTCCTTGGATCTGCATACCAGCAGCACTGTGTCTAGGGTTAAGCACTGCCTGAGGAAGAGTATGGGGTACTGTTTTATATCTCAGCCCTGTGGCTGCAGGCTCACTGACCACATGGGAGAGCTGGGCTCTCCTCCTCCTTAGCCTCAAGATACCAAATCATTTATGTGCCTTCACACTTGGAGCCTCCCACCACACTGCTTACTGATGTGGGGCAGGCAAGGATGCCTGATGTGGGGCACAAGAGGGGAAGCAAGGTTATGAAGTTGAGTGACTGTGGTCAGCTGATAGGAGAGGTGTTCACAGTCTCCGTCCTCATCTTATTTCAGCCCTTATTTGTCCCAAAGGTCCATCCCTGTCTTTTGATATCCTCTGCTCTCTGCCTTCTGCTCCTGATGGCATTTCTTACCTCCTCTACTGTCAGCATTATTACACTGTTCCTCTCCCCAGAGTCTTGGGGATGAGTCTCTTCGTGCTCAGCAAGTGTCTGAGCCCTCCTCCCGTATCTTACTTCTCTTCTGCTCCATTAGCCAATTCCAGCTTGGCTCACTCACTGGCTCTGCCCCAGCTCCTGCTTACAAATATTAGGATATGTATGATTTGCTTGCTGCATGACTCCTTTATCAATCTTCCAGCCCTGTGTTCATTTAATTTAGAGCATAAGCTCCCCCGGGGCACAGGGCCATGTCCTTTGTTTTAATCTTCTAAAGCACTTTGCCCAGTCTAGTGCTTTACCAATCTTCCTTAAAAGTATCAAGAAATATTGATTGTTGGTGCATACAAAGTGAGCACTGAGGGCAATTCTAGCCTGCCCTTGTAGGCAGAGGGACTCAGGAGACAAAAACAGCAGTGGCTGCATCCTCTTTAGTGCCGTGGTGGAGCAGGAAAAAACACTGCTGCACAATCCTGCCCTTTTCAAGACTCAGTTTTGTCACACTGGAGCAATGGCAAGGCTGTGTTTGAGTCTCAAGTCATCCTCTGCCTCCTGGAGAACTGCAGGCCCTCCATGTGCAATATGTTACAGCAACTGTCCCCAAACTGGAGAACCACCATTTTCCATTTGTCTGGGATAATGGCAGCTCTGCAGATGGTGCCCTTCTGTGGCAGAGCATTCCTTGTCCAAGTCTGGCAGTGATTTTTCAAAGCAACATTTGTTTCAGACAAGAAGTTTGTGGTGTACATAAAGCTACAGATGAGCCCAATTGCAGCCTGGGATTTGGTCAAGGATTATTTCAACAGATGACAGCCAGAACTCCCACTGGCATAATCAAATCCACACGTAAGAGTGGGAACAACTGCTTTGAACATGCACAGGCTGCTTTGCTGAGAAGCTCTTATTTGAAAATGTGGCCTTAGAACTTTTGCTCTTAATAACTGTGTTTTTGTGTCAGTATCCAGCAAAACTAGAATGGGCACATGAGTTGTCTCATGCTGAGTTCCCTTTGTTTTCCAGAAAGAGGAATGATGTATTTCAATAACTGTAAGCGACTTGAGTTGTAAAGGATTGTTTTTACAGGGCAAGAGAAGAAAGAGATACACTGTGCAACCTCAGAGCTGTGGCATGTTCTGTGGGACAAATGGGCTAATGAAAGTTGTCTGAGGAAGGAAAACTGGATCCACCCTGCCCTGACAAAGCTGTGGAAAGAACCAGGTCTTGCAGGATGCTCCTGCTGGTCCTTGAAGAGACATGGATAGCTCAACAGCAGAGCAAATGTGCCTTATGTCCACCATCCCTATGCTAGACCTTAAAGGGAATCTTAAGTAATCCTTCTTTTCCAACACAACAAAGTTGCATGGGATCAACCTGTATCTACATTCTTCGTGGGTTTTGTGGGCTACATGTTTGCCTCCCTCCCTAGCAGTCTGGCAGGCCCCGTGTGTGTGGAGCACAAGGTGACAAGTGCTGTTGCTATTGAATGCAAGTGCCTTTGACCAGACCTTTGGATGTGTAGAACCACTCAGCTGCCCATGGAAAAATCAGACACACAGCATGACCTGTCCTGCTGTGGCTCCAGGTTCCTCACTGGCCAAGACTCAAACAGAGCAATGTGAAGTCTTGTTGCAACTGAACTGAACGTGTAGACATGTTTAATGTCTACAATGTCTACATGACTAAAAGACAACACATACATTATAGCAGGAGGGCTGCTTGTTGAAATTTAAGGGGTGTTTTTTATATAGGAAGTACAGCCTGGGCTTTTCAATGCTCCCAGCTGAGCAGGCAGTGCAACATTTTGCTAGAATTTGCAAGGGAGCCTTGCATTTCTTATAACCTCCCACTTATTTTGTCAAAGAGCACTTTAGAACCCCCTTGGTTTGAGGTGAAATCCTCCCATGCTGAGACAGGGCAGGTGCAGGGAGAAGCCTCCAGCTCAGACAGAAAGGAGGGTGGCAGGACTTACATCACCCAAAGCCTCACCACGTCTCCCAAGCTGTTCCTTCTCATTGTGTGGGCAGCTGGTTTCCTTCCAGGAGGAAGGTTCCTGGCCTGTTTTGTCATCCAAAAATCCATCTGTCTTCAAGACTGAGAGTCTTGTTTTTTAAACTGGTAATGTCAGACAGCCTGACCACAGCATCCTCCAAGAGCAGACCCAAGCTGTAATTTGGGAAACTTTAAAGCTTGCTAGATTTCTGTTTGTGTGTTAGGGAACTGTCTGCCCTTTCCAGTGCTGGTGCTAGTGAAGTTGCAAACCTGGTCAGACTGTGGAGAAGCTGTCAGTTCTCTAGGTGGGAAGGAGGGGGCCCCTGTTTCTGAGTGCTTCAGATGCAAAGTGGGGGCAGGAGAGGCTAAGAGAGCTCTGGGAGGAGCAGAGGGGTGTTTAGCCCTGCTGGAAAAAAGACTCACTTGTTGAAATGTCAGGTGGGTACCCAACTACCCAACAAGGAGTAGCACCTCAAATATGACTCACTGCTGAAACTCTCAGCCTGCCTAGGGAAGCAAATTCTCCCAACAAAGTGGATGTTGTTCCCTAAAACACAAGCCCTTTAAAAAGAAGAAGAAAAAAAAAAGAATGAGAAACAGATGAGAAGGGTTTAGGCAGGGGGAAAATCAAATTTTTCTGGTTAATTAATCACTCCTCATGTGTTTTTTTAATTTTAGTTTGAGGGTTGTTCCAAAGCCTATTCCCGCCTGGAGAATTTAAAGACACACCTGAGGTCCCACACTGGAGAAAAACCTTATGTCTGTGAACACGAAGGCTGCAATAAAGCCTTTTCCAATGCCTCGGACAGAGCCAAGCACCAGAACAGGACACATTCCAATGAGGTAAGCCTGGGCTCACCACAGCTCAACGGAGGGCTTTTTTTAAAATTTTGCTGACAATAAACATACACTTTACACACTGGACGCATGTAAAAAGAAACCTACTGTAATGAGAGGTTTATCTTCTTTTTTTTAATGGGATTTATTTTGCTGGGGAGCCAGACCACATTAGCTTTACATTTATGAAAGCTGTGTTTGAAATCATAAACAGATGTTAAATTATGCAAACTTTTTAATCGACTTTGGAAATGAAAACAAGCGTTTTCCAAATTTATAATTTTTAATAGCACAGATAGTATAGTACAGTTGTGCAAGTGGTGTTTAATATTGCTGTGGAGCAGACTTGCAGTATTATAACAGCTACCCTGGATCCTGATGCTCTGGAAATAATACTCCCTCCATCGTTTGATGTACAATGATAGAGCACAATGCAATGCTTTGTTAACCTTGGATAATTAAGACCCACTATTAGTAGTTGGGGAGCAGAGGAAATTGCCTTTATTGTAACGCATGTGATGGTCTGTTGCAATCAACCACAGCCGACGATTGAAATTTATATTACCACTAATTAGCTGACAGGGGAAGAAAAAACAACACTCTAAAGTTCTAATAGTGTTTTCAGCCATGAAGAATTCAGTCTGTAGCCTAATTTGCAACAGTTAAATATAGACTACTGGAGAACAGAACGCAGTTGCCACGGTTGACAGCCTTTTGAAGCGATGCTGTGTCTACAAAGGGCTTGTTGGGAGTATTTTTATCTCTGGCATAGTATCAGTCAGTGATAACCAAAGCTCTGTAGGTTTCAGAGATTCTGTTTGAGTCAGAATAAGGACTCAAAATCTAGAATCCTCTTCTATGCTGAGATGATGTTGAGATGAGCTGATGAATGACCAGGTTCCCAGTGTTGTTTGCATTGTTTTGGTTATGAACCCAAACATCAGAATTGTTCTCCACCAGCAAGACTTGAGTTAAAATGAAACATATTGACACTTAAACTGGATAGTTTGGAATTGTTTTAAGGCTACAGCAACCCTGAGGCCAGAAGGGACCAAAAAGATAGGTTGCAATGACTCGTCTGCTCAGCATCCTGCATTCCCAGTAAGTGATATTTGACCACATCGTTTTTCTATGTTAAAGCTTCTGCCCCTGTAAGGTAGGCAACTGTGGTTTAATCTCACATTTTAGGTGTTGGAAACTGCTCATTCTCCACCCCTGGATGCTTTTTCTGCCTTCCTCCAGTGATGGATCCAGTGTCCTTTTCATTGTTGATATTTCCACCTTTTAATTTTGCAGTGTTAAGCCACTCTCTGTATTCTTGCTCATAAGCTGAATAAATCAATCAAGCTACTGAAGATTTACATATTTGCAACATTTTTTTCCTGTCTTAAAGGAAATTTCCATCTTTCTTCAGTTCCTAAGGATTCTCATGTGAATGGATCAAGACTCCCGGTACAGCTTTCAGTGCTGGATACAGACTCACTCAGCCCAGTCTGTGCACACTGACAGCATGTGAGCACCATTTTTTGCCCCTAGATCACTTGACCTCAGATTCCTGGAGCTTTACTAGGAGCTTTTCTAGGCAGGGCACTTTTCCATCTGAGCCAGCTAATGTCCCTTGTGGAATTTTCCTTTTGAATGTGTTAGTAAATGTAATTTCTCCAATGGCTTCAGATTCCCAAGTGATCCAGATCAGGAGCTGCACTGGATCTGGGATGACACCTCACTTCATCTGAGCAGAGCTTGAATACATTTAAAAGTCAAATCATTTGGGTTCCCTCATGCCAGAAGGTGAGGCTGTAGGGCAGGAGCATCCAACCCCATGTCTGTTGTGGACCCCAATCTAAATACGCTGACACTTGGCACAAGCTGCTTTCAAACAATGCAAATTGAAGACTCAGATAAGAGATAAGGGTTTTATCCTCTGCAGTTGCTTCTCCTAAAGGACACCAGCCCTTTCTGTGGTATAGGAACAGCACAGCCACTAGTGGAGGATCTGTACAAGACCAGCTGGCCTTGCCATGTGAACGACAAGGCACTGACACAATTCAAACAATCTTACATTTTGCAGTCATGATCACTCCTGAACTGCTGTTCAACCCTCCTTAATGCAGTACAGACACACCCCAAGACTTGTGGGAGCTCTGTAGGCTGCATACAATGGCTCCCTCTGGGCCATATTTTTGACACCCTCTTTTTGAGGATCATATAACATGATCCTTTACAACAGATGGTATCCCTCACAGCAAAGCTCATCACACTGGGCAGCAGGCCCAGGCAAGAGTCCTGTGTCCAGCTGTAGCCATGACCACTGGCTTAGCAAACTGTACTGAGGCCTTGGCTCACAGAACCACACAAATGCAAAGCAGAAGTTTTGTGTCTGTGAATATTTCCCATTACCCATTGGCAGCTATTGTGGTTCCTAGCTACCTTCTAAATATTTTCCTCTGCTTGCAGTGTTTACTTGGAATACACCAGTTTCATAGTTAGTCATCCAAGTCTCCTCTAAGGGGGAAGTTCCAGGAAGTTCCCTGTGTTTGTCACTGTCATTGTGTGACAGGACATAGGTGTATGGTCCAAACATGCTGAAGTTCAAGGCTGGGGGTATGATACCACACTGGCTTTGGTTTGACTGTTGAAATGTCATATACATTATTTCATTTTAAACCTTCAGTGACTGTGTGAATCCCTTCAGGGGATACCTTCAAGGTTATACCTGGAAAAAGGGCTTTCATCATTTTTGGATGAGTGACCCCTCTCCAGTGCATACACAGAGGAGTGGCATGAGTCCATGACCAGCCAAAGACTCAGAGTGACATTTTCAGCAGCTCAAGCTGAGCAAGGGTAAAACACATAAATCCAGTGCTGCTTAGTGCAGGGGGAGTTCTCCATTTCTCCCACCCTGAGGAGTATTACCCTGTATGTGCATGAGAGTAGGAGGGAGGAATCTGAGATATCTAAACTCTTGACTTCACTAAGGTGAAAATGTCACTGGATGTCAGAATCTGGATAACCCAGGGATAGACAAAGGCACACCAATGAAACAGCAGTTGTGCTCAGCTCAGTTGCAAGGGGTATGGCCTGATGAAAAGGTTGATTGAATTCCCTTAGGTGGAGTGTCTGCTGTCCAAGCTACAGTGATCATGTTACCCTAATTGCTAGGGTCAGAAAAATCAGAACTGTTGAGCCTATAAAGTATTTATAAAAAATCTTTGAACTGTTCATATACAGGATTTTTCAGCACATGTGGTGGGGGTTCTGTTCTTTGTAATAAGGCTTAATAGTAGTAATAATATTTCTATAATGCTTGTCCAAAAGGTTGCATGATATTTTTAAACAAACTGTTTTAATTTTTATGCTTTGGTTTACCCAGCTTTAAAATATATTAAATATTTACCTCAGTGGGGTGATACGTGGATTTAGGTGGTTTGAGTGATGTGCCAAGATCAGTCAGGAAGCATGCTTTTGAATACAAAGCAGACTTTCAGTGTTTTTCATGTGATGATACTGGCTTTCTGCAAAGAATATATACTCCTTTGTATTTTTTCACTTAAGTTCCTGGACAAAATTACAAAACAGATTTTAAAAAAATGAATAGGAATGGTCATATTGGGTAGCCTTCAAATATCATCTGTCTGTTTTTTCTCATGAATCTGTCCTAGTGCATTGGCAGAAAAATACATAGAGTAGTTGTGAGGCCAGAAGCAGAACTTGTGATGAATTCAGAGCTTCCAGTGCAGCAGCAACAGCTCAAACAACTGCAGTGCTAATATACTTTGGAATTGGAGACTCAGTAAAATAAAAAAAGTTAAAAGAATAAAAGTATCTGTTTGCTGGCTTCTGTTTTCAGAACCATGGCTTCAGCCTTGTTTTCCTATGGCAATCAATGATTCATGAATTCGGGATAGAATGCTGTCATCTGAAAAAAACATTGCATGCCTGTGGTTTGTTTTGCACAATAGGAGATTTCAAGGTGACAGGTGTTGGAGTGGTATGATAGATTGAGTAGGGTGAATCCAGTCTGGCTTGGATTCACTGGACTTCCAAAGGTTTCAGACATTTTCTTGGTGTAGACCCCACCTTAGCAGAGCAAATGTGTTATGCCCGGTCCGCTACATCACCTCCCTCCCATCCTTAATCAGGAAACATTCCTGTGGCCACCCGAGCAAATACATACATGGGAAAGTAATACTAGGAAAGTATTTCATGAATTCTGAGCTGTCTTTTGATCCAGAAACTGAAAACAAGAGGTTTAGCCAACATGAAATGACCAGCCAAGTCTGTGTGGATCAGCAGCAGCCCATATATCACATCTTCCATATCTCAGTCTTACAGAGTCCTGCAGAGCAGATGCTCCACATTTTGCTGCTGCCTGCTGCTGTGCTCATTTTATTTTCTTAGCCCATACGCTGTACCTGGAATATTTGGGGTTATTATAAATATAACCCAAGATTTGCTTGTATTGACAGAAACCCTACGTCTGTAAAATCCCTGGCTGCACAAAGCGGTACACGGACCCCAGTTCCCTCAGAAAACACGTGAAGACGGTGCACGGACCTGATGCTCACGTCACAAAGAAGCAGCGCAATGATGTTCACCCGAGGCCACCTCCACTCAAGGAAAATGGGGACAATGAGGCAAGCGCCAAGCAGAGCAGCAAGGTGTCAGATGAGAGCCCCGAGGCCAACAGCACCACGAGGGGCATGGAGGACTGCTTACAAGTCAAAACAATAAAAACAGAGAATTCTGTGGTAAGGGCAGTTGCTTTTGGGAGAAATTATGTGGTTCCTGATCTCTCTGATGCAGTAGGGGCAGGAAGCATTTGTATTCCATTAATCTCTCTGGGCAGGTGCCCTTCAACCATAGAGTTCAAGTCCAGAAATGAAACTGCAGGTCAGGGCACAGTCCAGTACATTTTGCACCTTCCTACATCATAAATTCCTGCCCTTGTAGTCATGGGGGAATGACTGTACTTGGCATTCCTGTGCTGAGCTTGGCGTTCCTGTGCTGTGAAAGTGGGTAAAACCCAAGAGTGTTGTGGTCAAATGAGCTTTATCTACCTCACCAGTTTAAATTGAGCAATGACCACAGATGGATGAACTCTTCTTGAAACAAAGATCCTGGCTTAAGTAGTCCTTTTTTTCCTCCTCCCTGTACCCTTCACTCCTTTTCTTTCTAGTCTGCTGCTGTTTGATGAAGCCAGTGGGGATAAAACTAGCTGTTTTATTTTTGTTGAGTATCTTAAAGCAAGTTCAATTCCTTGATCCTGTCCACCATACACAGAAGCACAAAATCACTGGGATTGTCAGGGACCTCTTGAGATCATGGAGATCAGGCTCCCTGATCAGTTGAGGTTGGCTTGAGCAGATTACTCAGGAGTACAGAAATTTGATACATGACTCCCAGCTGCCATAGAAAATTGTAGCAGGATGATGGGGCAGGGAAGTGAAATTAGGAATAAATATGGGAGCAATGCTGTGACCCACAGAGTATAGACTATCACTTAACCATGATCAAGCTTTACAGCTCCAGCACCTGAAGCAAAGACCATTTATCAGCTTTCTGTCCAGAAGCTCCACAATTGGCAGTAGTGTGGTCAGTGGTGCTAAGGAGCTGTGTATAGTGGTGGTTTCGAACACATCAAACCTCTTCCACCCCATCCAGGATGGAGGAGGAGATGGAGCGTTGCAACACACAAATCACTTTTGCCTTTTGATGTTTCTTTTCACTTTGTACCCAAAGTTCTGGTCTGCTGCATCAGCTCAGAGTGGGACAGGGTACGGGCTGGATTCAGGAGAACAGACCTTCACCTGCAAAGGAGTGTTCACATATTCCCCAGACTTCCCACTTGAGCTGAAAGGACTTTGAGCTCCAAAATATATATTTTCTTGATTCAAATCCAGGCTAAAAGATCATTCTTTCTGTGAAAAACATTCCCTGGAGCTACAAAGATTTTCTCAGAAGGGTTAGAGGATGTCTTGTTGGACAAATTACTAATCAGCAGCATGTTTCAGTTAGGAAAAAAATTAGTATTTACACATGCAGAATATCTCTAATTGACTAAAGAAACAGTTTCATGTGATGAGGTTCTGTACTGTGTTACAAAAGCTGAGTGTGAGAACCACTGGACAGGATGACCTTCCTCCAATACTCTTCCTGGATGTGTTTTACTGTTTTTTTCCTATGAAAACACTAACACAATTACAGGTCCCCACCCTGCTTCTCCTGAAGGTATGGGATTGTTTTCCTAGCACTCTGTGCTCCCAGGGTTCCAGCCAAATCACTTCACTGGCAGCAGGGCCCTGGGTCATGTGTTTCTCTTCCCTGTCCCTCTCTAGCACTGCACACTTCACTTGTGCACATCTAACAGGCGGCATCTCATCTGGTGGGTCCACATCCAACTCCTGCTTTGTGGTTAAGGTTGGGGTGGTGGGAGGGGTGAGATGCCTCACTGGTTCCCATCATTCCCAGGCTCCTTGTTTTGACCCATGTTTGTGTGTCTCCCCAAACCCATGGAAACAGGTAGAAAGTCTCTCCTAGGAGCTTTTATTTGTGCCTCTAAAGAGGGAAGGCAGGGAAGATGAGATATGGGAGTGTTGGGTACATTGGTAATTTGTGCTGTATTCTGCATTTCCCTCTGCCTCCTTTTACTAACCTGGTCCTTTTTGTTAATGCTGTCTTTGTCCTAACAACCTGTTCTTTATTCCCACTTATCCTTCCTTACTCTACCTTCCTAAGGACAGTCGGTACTAAGGTGAGCAAAGAACTCCTTTGTATTAAAATAGCCATATAAAGCATGATCTCCTGCAGATATCTGTCTACATTTAACCCTCACAGGGTAGAAGTGGAAGTATGTGGGGCAGTGGGGAGGGATAGGAGAAATTTTCTTGAGTGCAGAAATGGGGAGGATGCAGTGCCCAAGAATTCTTTTTGCCACCTTTCTCCCAGCATCACAATTTACCATTAAATCTTGGGATTGCAATCTCTATCATCTGGACTGAAGGGCAATCACAGCCAGTCAACCCTGCCCATGGGGCTGCTATGGAGTACAGTAAAAACACTGCAGCATTCTGCATTCCCACCTTGGCCCAGGGCAGAGTTCACTGCATTTTCAGCACTCCCCATTTTTTGCTGGAGCATGGGCCTGGAGCAGAAAAGCCAGGCATATCCTGTTTGGTAGCAGTAGCAGAGCAAGTTCAGACCATATAGTGTCTGCTGCAAATAAACTATTCAATGTGAGTAGTTTACATTCCTAATGTAAATAAAATAAATATTTATGGTGCTTATCTGCCTTATCTGCAAGTGGGAGTTTGCAAACAGTGAACCAGGTTTTTATCTGGCGGGGAAGTTTGTCAGCTAACCTAATTATATGTTAGGGTATTTTAAAGACAGAAATACGTTGTGTCTGAAATACTTAAGCCTTGATCCCATGTTAGATAAGCCAGTGTTTGCTGCAATATACCTTGCACAACCAGGTGACGTGCTGCTTTTCTTCGAAAAACATCTGTCCTTCTTTTGAAGGAAGAGCATTTGGTTTCTCTCCATCTTGCAGTTGAATCACCATGGTTCTTCCAGCTGTGGGGTGCTGTCCCATCCTCCTCTCACAAGAGAGAGCCTTTTGGAAGAGCTGAGATCCTGCAGCAGGGAGGGGTAACAAGACAGGGGAGAGCCTAGGATAGGAGCTCTCCTAACCTCCCAGACTAACACTGGGGATGTTGGGCTCCTGATTTCTTTCCATCCATGTTTTCACCTCCCCAACTCTTTGTCCTCTTTTCCCTCCCCAAGATGTGTCAGTCCAGTCCTGGTGGCCAGTCGTCATGCAGCAGTGAGCCATCACCCCTTGGCAGCACCAACAACAATGACAGTGGAGTAGAAATGAACATGCACAGCGGGGGAAGTCTGGGAGATCTGACGGCGTTGGATGACAACGCTCCTGTCGTGGACTCAACGGTCTCATCTGGTAACTCGGCAGTCAGCCTGCAGCTAAGGAAACACATGACGACGATGCAACGACTTGAACAGCTCAAGAAAGAGAAACTCAAGACAGTTAAGGATTCCTGCTCATGGGTGAGCCCAGCTCCACAAGCCAGAAACACCAAGCTGCCTCCCATCTCAGGAAATGGTAAGCCCTGGGCCTGGACCATGTCCTGTAGGAACCTTCCAGAGTTTGACTCTGGTTTCACAACCAAGAGTCTGCCCTGGAGGAATGAGGATCATTTCTTTCTTTGAGTCATGCTTTGATAGATAAAAATGTCAGGTAAAATGGACAGCTTGGGTATAAACACAGCCATCTGGTGATGCACGAGAGAAACCCAGGTGCTCAGTTCTACAGACCTGTGAAGGGAGACAGAGGTGTTGGTGTCCTTGTTTCTGAGCCTTCCCAGAACCCAGACACAGCTGTCCTCATTGTCCCAGTTATAGCCGCAAGACTGCTTGCATTTCTTCAGCAATAACAGTTCCCCAAAGGATAGTGTGCTTCATAGGAAGGCACTGGAGCAATAACAGTTCCCCAAAGGATAGTGTGCTTCATAGGAAGGCACTGGAGCAGCAATTCAGACAAGACCTCCCTCCATAATCTTGCTCTGACAGGCCTTTTGAAGCTCCTGGCTATTGCCTCCAGCTTCATATGCTCATTGCCCACTGGCTGGTGATTCCTGGTAAAACCATCTTTTTGAACCCTCTAGAGATCCTCTAACTTGGCCAAGAAATCTAAAGGCATAATGCCTGGGTTATATTAGATGCTCAGAGCTTCTTGGGTTACTCTTGGAAGAGCCTTTGAATGTCAGCCTTTGGGCTCTCCCTGACTGCTGTGCATCTGTCCCAGAGAGTAGCTGTAGTTGTAGCTATGTGCTGTCCCTGTGGCACTGCTCACACCAGTCCTACCTTTGTCTTACTGAGGGAGGCCCATGTGCAGACATTTCCCCAGAAGCTGAGTATGAGTGTACATGTTACAAGCACTCTGCAGCAAGGACTTAACTTCTATCTCCAGACTTCTTGCTCCCTTTGCGTGAACATAGAGCTGGAAATGAAGCTTTGAATTCACTACCATTACATGAAACTCACCATCACTCCTATTAAATATTTGGGGGTGGCTTTGTGGGTCTGTATTCTGGCACCTAGAACGCTACAAAGTGAAATTTCTCAGCTAACCTTTTCCTTCCCTGCAACCTTTCTTTCAGGTTCTGTTCTAGAAAACAGTGGTGGTTCTTCTGCTATGCTGCCTAACCCCAGAATAATGGAGCTGTCTGTCAACGAGGTTACAATGCTGAACCAACTCAACGAGCGCCGTGATAGTACAACAAGCACCGTCAGCTCTGCCTACACTGTCAGCCGCAGATCCTCAGGGATCTCCCCGTACTTCTCCAGCCGCCGTTCCAGTGAGGCTTCGCATCTCGGGCACCGCCCCAACAACACAAGCTCTGCTGACTCCTATGACCCGATTTCCACGGATGCCTCCCGTCGCTCGAGCGAGGCAAGCCAGTGCAGCGGGATGCCGGGTCTGCTGAACCTCACACCAGCTCAGCACTACAGGCTGAAAGCCAAGTATGCTGCTGCCACAGGGGGCCCTCCTCCAACTCCCTTGCCAAACATGGAGAGGATGACCCTGAAGAACAGGATCTCGCTTATGGATGGACCAGACCCCACCTTGCCCTCCATCCGCCTCCCGCCAGGCCCCAGGCGTTGCAGTGATGGTAACACCTATGGCTACCCATCAGCTCCAGCATTTCCCCAGGAGGTGCAGGGCAACTGCACAAGACGGGCAAGTGACCCAGTGAGGAGACCTCCTGGAGATCCCCAGGCTCTTCCACGAGTTCACCGCTTCAACAGCACCAACAGTGTGAACCCCTTCCATCCTGCACACCCCACGGACAGGAGGAATTTTGGTCTCCAGAGCTACGGGCGCTCAGACGGGAGCCTGCCCCGGCACACGTACTCACCCCGGCCGCTGAGCATCAGTGAAAACATCACCATAGAAACCATGTCCGGAGAGACAGACGTGCCCATTGGAGACGATGACATTATGCTGCCAGATGATGTGGTACAGTACATCAAATCCCAGAGCAATGGGACAGTGGCCGAGAGCACTTCCATGGGCTACAGCAATGAGATGCAGAACTTCCAAGGAAGTGGGAAGCTGCAGCCTCCAGCCTTGCCCAGCCAGCGCAGAATGGCAGTGGCTGAGGCAAACATGAGCCACTTGGGGCCCATGATGGCAGAGTGTTCCATGAGTTTTGATACTTCTTCAGACATGAATAAAAATAACATGCCTGTCCAGTGGAATGAAGTCAGCTCGGGCACAGTTGATATCATGTCCAATCAGTCAAAGCAGCAGTTTTCACAAGGGAACTTAGCGGTGGTCCAGCAGAAGCAGAACTTCAGTCAGTACCAGAACTACAGTCAGCAGATGCAGCTTCCAGACAACAGCATGAATGCAACACAGCAGAGCTTTATGCAGAGAAACATGGGCATGGATGGGCAGAGGCTAAACTGCATGCAGCTGCGGCAGCAGCCCATGAGCCTAGGTCCCAGCATGAACCCTGATATGGGCTTGCACGCGGGGTATAACCAACCACATCAGATGCTGAGCCCCAGTGCAATCAGTGGCAACCCAAGTCAGATCTCTCCTAATTGTAGCAACATGGCAGCGAAGTCCGGACCCCACCTTCACCCTCAGCAAATGGACATGGCAACTGACCCTTCTTTGATGGTCAGGAGCAACAGTGAGCGCACAGTGCTGGGACAGATCATGCATGAACCGAGTCAGCAGAACTACGCATCTCAGCCAAGCCACCTGAACTTCCCTGCGGCTCAGGAGACCTTTCCTCAGCCCATCATGACCTCCAGTCAGCCCAGTTTTGAGCCTCAGCAGAGCGTGATGGGTTCAGCTGCACATGCATATCCACCTGGCATGATCCAGCCTCGTCCTCCACCGGAGCCAAACCTGGGCAGCAGACCCCGAGGGGTCCGCACCGCCCAGCAGCTGGGCTACATGAGAACTCCCCATCCTACGAGCGCCATCAGCCCTGGCCAGGAGACGACAGAGGCCATGCATAAAAGAACCAGTGACATGTTGCTGGCTCCAGCCCAGCAGTGCGCAGAGGGCACGAGGGACAACAACTTGATGTACTATTACGGGCAAATCCACATGTATGAGCAGAACAACGGCTTCGATAACCACGCGGACTGCCGGGTCAGGCAGCAGCAGTGCACACAAAACAGCAAGCCAGCCACTCTGCCTTCCCCAGGAACAAACCAGGTGTCCAGCACAGTGGACTCTCAAGGTCTTGAGCCACCCCAGATAGATTTTGATGCCATCATGGATGATGGGGACCATTCGAGCCTGATGTCAGGAACCCTGAGCCCCAGCATCCTGCAGAACCTCTCCCAGAACTCCTCTCGCCTGACAACTCCACGAAACTCTCTGACACTGCCCACCATACCTGCAGGGATAAGCAATATGGCAATAGGTGATATGAGCTCCATGCTAACCACGCTGGCGGAAGAGAGTAAATTTCTAAACATGATGTCGTAACGGTAAAGCACAAGGCCTTGGTGCCATCCAAGGGGCTCTGCGTGAAGCAGTTGTATGAATGTGCTTTGCAAAAATAATCTGTTTCAATAGAGTAGGGTTTTTTATAAGTGTTAAATACATTAAAGGATTTAAAAATGAAAATTTTAAAAAGTCTGTGTACATAATTATGTAAACTATATGCAGGCAGTTCAGTACCACAAGGGTGCACCTGTAGTATTATATTTTTGGCTTGATTTCCCAGAGCACTGAACGGTATCACCACCAAGCTAGGAGACAGCATGAGGGTGATTAGAGATGAAGCCCTCCCTTCTGGGAAGCCCTGTAAATAGCACTCCCCATCATTTTCCGTTAGTTACATTTGCAAAAATAATTCCATTTTCAACCCGCCCCAGAAAGAAATGGGAGGATGCAGTTTTGGTTAGAATAAAAGCCATACTACGTATTCTGCTCTGATGAGAGTAGGGTTTAGTTATATCTCCAAACAAGCCCTCTGCCAGCAGTATTGTTTTATACCGTAAATACCTTTGTACCTTGCAAAGAGCGACGTTTCCAAACAGCTTCTCAGCGAAGTGCCTTACCATGCTTTCTTGTTAAGTGGCCAAGGCCTCTCTTCCTTTAAAAATCAAATATAGTGTATTGTCAGAAGCGTATATAAAATGTACATTTATAAAAACATAGTGGTGTTTCTGAGCAAACATTGGAAAGACACATTGATGAGACACATAAAAGGTGAATGCACACTTTGATCAGATGTGTTTACAACGTGGTTTATATCATGTGCAGAGTGGAGCAGAGGCCTGAGAACAGCAATCACTGGGAAATAATCCCCCGTGGCAGGAAGGCTCTGGCATGCAGACTGACACACATGCATAACTTTGCACCTTCTGAACATAGTGACTTTCTGCAAGTGCCCCACATGCATCTTTAGTGTCAGAGTGCTGGAGCACACATTACTGTATCCCTGTGCAGCTTTTCAGCAGCTTTGCTCTCTGGTGGGTTTTCCGTGCTGAGGTGCTCACATAAACAAGTGCTGGTGGTGGAGAGAGTTTTACAGTCGTTCCAGTGCAGTGTGCACCGTGGCAGTATTGGGGGAACAGGTTAATCTGCCAGGGTTCAGCTGTGTGATGTGCTCAGTGCAGGTTTCTGCCTGGGCTCCATGCGCACAACAGGTGCCTGGCTGCACTGCTGTGGGGCCAAGCATAAGCCAAAACACCCTGCCCCACAAGCAGGCTTGTTGGCATGCACCCAGTGCTAGCTTAACATGTCCCACATCATGAAAAAAACTGCTGTATCCAAAAAATATACCACAATCAACCTGAGTTGTTCGTTTGACTGGCAGAGTGTACCTGCAGCACTAAATGTGTGTATAGTTTCAAAACAGGTATGTGAGTCAGAATAGTAGCTTGGTCAGTGAGAATCTCCTGGAACCATCATTGAGGGAAGAGATGGGAGGAGCAGGGCCTCCTGAAGTCAAATTCCATGCCAGAATATACTGCTCGTAATAGTGATCAGCTGTTTCCAGGACACTCCCACCTGCCTGTAAGTTGATCTTTGTTGCATTATTTATTTTTGCTGTCATTAGAAAAAAGGGTGGAAGCAGTGGGTTGCATGTACTTGGGAGGAGACCTTGCTTAACTTCAGACTGTGTTGGACAAGGACAGCTCCCTCATCCCGCTCTCCTAGCCTCAAATGCTTTGTACCCATATGTTGGAGGGCAGGGAACAAGTGTGACATCCTGCCCAGGTTCTTAGAGCTGGACTGAGTAAGCATCTGTAGAGCTCCACTCTTTCCTGTCCATCTCCCTGTCATATCAGTGAGATGTTCTCATTTGCACCTGACTCTGTCCCCTGCACAGGACCAGGACAGCTCTATAAATGTGTTTTCTGGTGTCTTTGCTTTCCTTTTGCACAAACTGATGTCAGGATCACTCTTCCCAGTATGAGCAGGGGCTGACATGAAAATGCCACATGCTACCTCCAGGCAAACTCTGTGATATCAAATAGGCAGGAGCTGTGCTTGGCAGGTGTGGCTCAGGACAGCTTTGCTGCCAAGTAGCCCAGGGTATGGCTGGTGCAGGGAGGTGCTTGCTGCTCAGCATCCTGCAGTCTCATCCATCCTCATCCCAAATGCACAGGGTGCACACAGGGTGCTCTCAGCCCTGCCCTTCACCCCTCAATGACTCCTGCTGATGTCCAGGGTGCATGAGGACAGGGAAGCAAAGCAAGGTGCCTGGCTGTTTATTTGTGTCTCCTGTGAAAGTTGTGTTTAAAGGGATTGTTTTATAGTCTGCTGTATATATTCTTCTGCAGTTATGGACCTTGCCCTTGCCTTTGCATTTATGAAAAGAGGGCAGTACGTGTTTTAGGACATTGTATGTTGTCCTGGATGCTTGAAGTACAACTGGGCATCCCTTGTTCTGAGATGGATCAGGCTTTTGTGTGTCCTTTGATTGCTGATCTGACTTTTTTAACAGCTGCATAGGGCAACAATGGCTCCTGAGTCCCTCCTCACAGATATCTCATTAGCAAAAGTTCAAATACAGAAGCAAAACCAAATCTCCAATGACTTGAGATTTTTTGGACTTTCCAGTGGTGGTCTTCCTTCATTTACTGAAAAAGTATTATAATAATCTTTCCAGCACTGTATATATTATGTATAGAAGACATCATTACTAAAAGTACTGTAGGTGAATTGTTCTGTCAAATTTATATCTTAAGAACATTTTTAGCTGTTTTCTACATCATAAGAATGGAGGTAACATGCTGAACCTGTATATAAACCTTTTGTACATTAAAAAGTAATTTTTTTTTTCATAATTCATTGTGTCTGTTGTTATTTCTTTTCATTGGCAAATGGTGGTTGGTCTTGGTCTGTCCTTACCACACCAACATAGTCAGTTGGGCTCTGGTGGTGCTTAGGAACAGCTGGTGAGGAGCTGGTAGGGCAGGTGTGTGATACAGCACAGGTGTAGAATGGTCTTGCCTTGAAGAGATTCCACTTAACGATGAGATGGAGGTGGCAGAAAGAGAGGCAGCAAGGTCAGTGTGTGCTGCAAACACAGTCCTGCTGCCCAGGTGTCTTTCACTGCCTCTTGGCAGAGGTGATTTGAAAGACAGTGGCAGTGCAGCAGGCATCCTACAGGAGAGGGGTTCAGAGCAAGGGCTGAACAAATTAGTCAGCCAGAAGATTTTTGATAAAAATGGGTTGTTGACTGACTTGGTCGTTGTCCAAAAGGAGACAGAAATAGGAAAGATTAGCAGAGCTGTGATGGGCAATGACAGAGGCAAATTGAATACTGGGTTTGAAGAAAGGAGAAATTAATCTGTGCGTTATGTATGTGATGGGAAGCAATTATTGGGTGAGCAACTGATAGATACATCAGTTGTGATCTAGTTAGAGTCTCATCCAGCTCCTTGATGAGAAAGATTTAATTTGGCTGCAGCACGAGTCAGCTCTGTTTCTCAAGAGACTGATTTTCAACTTGTTTTTGTAGGGGTGGGTTGGTGTGCACAGGGCTGGAGCCCTAAGGGAGCGTGAGAACACTGTTCTCAGGTGAACCTCATGGGCACAATGAGTTTGGAATGAAAGCTGCTGAGCAAAGCAGCTGGCCAGTGAATCAGTGAATTACACTTGGTGCAAATGAACCAGCAGTTTCATGCAGAAACAACTGAAAAGGATGCACTCCTTTTCCTCTCTGTGGGATCCCTCCTGAGCTGATTGGCAGAATCAGGTACTTATGGGACAAACCCTCACCCTGTCTTCAGGGTTCCTACGTATGGGACAAACCCTCCGGGGTCCTTCAAAGTCCATGGCAAGAGATTGGCACAAGAGATACCTCTTGTGAAATTAGTATTTCCTTAAGTTTTAGACACGTGGAATGGAGTGGACTTTTCCTCTGAAAGACATGTGTCACTCTCCTTACTGATTACAGAGTGATCCCAAGTAGCCAGCTTAGATGCTCTCTCCAGTTGGGAGAGGTGAATCCCATACTCCTGTGGATCTCTTACACCAATCTGGCCACCCTCAGCATGATCCCAGGCTGAGTCACTGAATGTGTTAATGATCCTGTTAAATGTAAATCCACTGGATAAATACCACACCCATCTGTACTGTCCAAGAACTACAGAAATCACAATTAAAATGCAGTAATATTATCAAAAGGAAATTGTTCAGATCTTTTCTATTGACATAAGGCTTTGGAGACTCAGATCAGCTCCTACCTCTTTTCTACTTCAAACACTTCAAGTAGGTTTGTAATCTAGATCAAATGCTGCTTTTAGCTGGTACTTCTCTTCAGAGTTCAATCAGGGCACACCTCTGCTGGTGTGAGAACATATTTATTACTTAAACTGGGCTAAGATTTCCTAGGAGCCTACCTGAGGTCATGTACCAGCATGTGCATTTTTACTGCTTCGCCATCCTGGAATAAACAAGGAACGAAAGGCTCACTGCTCCAATTGTAAGCAGGTAATAACCCTTCTGCAACAAATGTTGTTTATAAGCCAGAGCATGGAGTTTATACTACTGTGGCAGCTGCATAATACTCAATTAACCTTCTTTTCAATCAACCATATCCCTTATGAAAACAAACCATCCTAACACGTCTGATTCTGACCTTCTTTGGTGAGTGTTAACCTCACTCCATTCCCAAAGCCAGTGGGAGCATAGGAAGAGTAAGATCCCACTCTGGGTAAAACCATCACAGCCCTTTAATATTGCACTAATATCTCAGGTTTTCCTGGAGGGGAGAAAAAAGCCCATAAAAGCTACTGTTGCTGGATCTGATTGCACTTACTGAGTACAGAGTCATTCCAACAGCTCTTTATTGCAGTGGTCTCTGTAGGGATGACATAGGGGCTCTTGTTCTTTACGAGCTGTTGGATCTACTTGGAAGCGCATACGTGTGGTAAACAAATGGTGTGTTTTATATTATTGGAAGGACAATTTATGACCAACCAAGGCCTCTTGCAGACAGCCATTTAACTTGTAAGTAAAATGAC